TATGGAACAAAAAGGCTGTACATTGTAAAAGTAAAGTAGTGAATGTGGGCCAGACTTACAGTATACGACCTTCAGTCTAAGCATATAACTATCAATTTACCACAGTAAACAGCTGTACCAGACTGAACCATGGTGTTTTAAGTCAGTCACTGATGAAAAAGAACAATCTTGGCACTATGGCTTTTTTTTATGGATTTAGTTTTAGAAACTACTCTTAAAAACTTGAAAACTAATGTTTGTTTTTTGTCCTTTAGGGATCCGGAAGGGTTACGAGTGTTTTACTATCTGGTGCAGGACCTTAAGTGTCTAGTCTTCAGTCTCATTGGATTACATTTCAAGATTAAGCCAATTTAAATTGTATAATTTTGAGTTTGTATTGTAATGTTGCAAGGGGTGGGACACTTTCATTCCTTATCTCTTCTTGGATAGAACTTTTATGTATGTTTAGAATTTTTTTTTACAAACTGTAAGTGAATGTCTTTAATAAAAATGGTGAAACCTGTATTTTTTTAATTTAAAAGTTGTCCATGTAATCGAGGTCTCAATCTCTGAACACCGTTTACTTTCATTACTGTATATCCAAGATGAGTGGCTTTGAGTTCCTGTAGATCAGTTCAATATCTAGTTTTAGAAAAAACAATATTTTAACTGTTCTATCCATATAGCACTCCGGGGCAGAACAAATGAAGTTCTATAGATCCCTGGAATTAAAACTCTTGTCAGAGCTCTTAAGATAAGTTTGTGTCCCAATCTTTAAATGGATGCTTTGAACATCAGTTAATGATCAGATAAGAACTGAAGCCCTGGTTCTGTGCTGGCTTTGTTTTAGCTGTCTCAGTGATTGACACGCTATCAAAACTGACACTTTTTCCTGATACCTGCTCTTAAACCTCTGAATGGAAGCTTTAAAAGATTATTTGCTTTTTACGTGAAGGATTGATAATCTATTTCTTAAATATGGATCAATCTCCTTTTCTGTATTGTTCAAATTCTTATTATCTTAAAAATATTTTTAAAATACTCTTATATCCCCCATAAGTCTGCAGAATTCATTTGCTAAGGATATAATTGTAAACATGTGACACAGTAGCCCAGTTTGAGGTAACTTTGCCCATGCAAACAAAGTATATTTTAGGCAAATTATAATATGACCATACATGTGGGGAATATAAATGTTTGTCTAGTTACATCAAGTATTTTAGGTTGAAAATGTGACTATCTTTACATCTGTTTCTCAGGTGGTAAATCAGCTGCATGTATTTTAAAATTATCCTTTTAAAAAATATATTTGAAATCTATGTAAACATTAAGATGGCCTACTGTGTAAAGAAGGGTGTTTAAAAGAACCATCCTATTTTTGTTTTAGACATCATGTTTTGTATTTTTATATACACTAAAATAAGTTTTGCATATTTCTCTACTCATTGTCTTAGATAATGTTTCTCCAAAAATCTGTTTTTGGCTCTGATAACTCATCTTTTTCAAAATAACTATTTAAAGAAATTATATTAAATACTGTGTAGAACATACAGTTTTAATACTTACAGCTCCAACACCTGAAAGGGTATGTAGATATCTTAAAAACATATTTAATTTATTTTTACTGTAATCCATTCCTTTTTTGCTATACTCAGAAAACAAACACTTTCCCCCTACCATTGCAAATTTGAATCTGTTACTGACCAACATTGTTAAATTTTAATATTGACCGTTGTCAAATGTAGCAACAGTTTTCCACTCAAATGACTAATTACACCCTCAGTTAAGCTGCTGTACAATTTCCACTGAACTGAAAATATAGTTCCACTGTAGACCAAGTGCTGTATCTGACTCCTTTTTTCACTTCAGAAAACCAATGGCAAAGTTGCTTCTAAGGGAACGGAATACAAATAATAGAAACCAAATACACTATAACAACCCACTTTGCTATTACTGACAGTATTTTCCTTTGTTTCCCAGAAGTAAGCTTTATTCTATGAGGGGGGAAAAGGTAACATGTAAGTGCAGCAAAACACTGCCATAAAAACAGAGCTGCTTTCCTTCCTCCCCCCCACAATTTCTTGTAGGAGGTGGAGCTAGAATCCTACTTCAGCTTCTGCTAGGAAAGAGATCCCTAGATCCATCAGTGGTTGTGCTTTAATTGATCAAAGGGAGTAATTAGAACTGGTATAACTTTGAAACTTTTTTTTTTTTTTTTTTTTAAGCATTCTAATGCTCTCTGCAAGACCCCAAAAGAGCCCTCAAATCTTTCGAAATGTCTTTATGGTTAAGTGTGTTCTGTTTGCAGACATACCCTTTCTTGAACATCATCCTACCAAGAAAAAGGAGCCAATCTGGAAACATACTTATGTGCATTCTTTAAACACTCTAGAAATTAGTGTTTAGTACTGACTCCAGAATTCAAACCCAAATCAGAACAGTGTTTTTCTCAAATGACTTACAATATCTCTTAGCAGCAAAGGGATTTGGAAATGTGGCTATGGAAGTCATTATTCAGTTCCCCTGAGCAGGGTCGGCTCCAGGCACCAGCCCACCAAGCATGTTCTTGGGGCGGTGCCTGGAGGGGGGCGGCGCGGCGGGGTGCTCCGGCCCAAGAGCGGGGCCGCGACTGGGCTCGCTGCCCTCCCCCCAGCGCTCTGGCCGCTGGGGACAGCGGAGAGCCCCGGCCGGGCTCGCCGCCCTCCCCCCAGCGCTCTGGCCGCCGGGGAGAGTGGCGAGCCACGGCCGGGCTCTCCGCCCGCCTCCCGGCGCTCTGGCCGCCGGGGGCTCTCCACCCTCCCGCCGGTCAGGGATTGCGGGCCCGCGGCCGGGCCCGGCGCCCTCCCCTGCCGCAATGGGGCAGCAGGTGGCTTTTTTGCCTAGGGCGGCAAAAAAGCCAGAGCCAGCCCTGCCCCTGAGCCCCCAAATCCATGAGTCCGTACAATATAGTTGGTCAGAGAGGAGACTCTAATAATGACTAGAGAGATGGTGAGAGACCCAATTGATTGCTGGTGGGTGGAGGAATCTCTCCTCCCACCTGTAATTCTCCTATGTACACCTTTTAATTTACACTATATCCAGGAACCAGAATTAGCCCTCGTTTTGAAAGTGTAACTCTACAAAGCAATTTGAGAAGTAGTTTGCATGAATACTAATCCATCAAAAGGTACATTGAGTTCATAATTTTCAGGTTCCAATGTGTTCTAGCGATCACCCTTTGGGAGAAAAAGGAATCATCCATCTGCCCTGCCCTCGTTACTCTCTTATTTGCACCCCATATGTCCCTGCAACCACTTCAGGTTCCCTCCTCTCTCCCCACGTTTCCTTGTTTAGTTCACGAACCATAGAGCCGATGAGCGGGACAGAGCGGCCTGACTTGGCTTCTTGTGTCCTTAAATACAATGGAGGATGGCGGCCATCATTATTAGGGGCAGCCTCGCTGCAATCAGCAGAGTTTAGGGAATTTGCGGCCATCTTGACTGAAGCTTCAGTCCCATCGAAAGTAACAGATGGCGGCCATCTTGGCTACGGGCAGCTCCTTGCGAAAGTAACGGGATGAGGTGATCATTTTGTCTAAGGGCAACCATTCACGGGAAAGCTGCCAAATAGGAGTCGAGTTTAAAAAAAAAAAGCCAACGATCGCGAGAGTTGGAGGCCGGCCTCTAGCGGGAGAGCGTAGGTGTCGGTGACTCTGTTAGCGCTGCTCCCGCCTCCAGGGCGGCACCCGCCCGCTGCCTGCGCCGCGGGACGTGGGGGCAGCTGCTGAGCGCGTCCAGGCTGCGCCTCCAGCTACAGCCGGGCCCGCAGCGCGCCAGGCCCTGAGCATGGGGGTGGGTAAGGGGGGCGCGGCGCTGCCCGTGCTGGGGGAGGGGGTGGCATTGGCTGTAACACACTGACTCTGTCCCCCGCCCCCTGCTTTACAGAAGACCGGGCTGCAGCTGAGAGCCACTCTGGAAAACATTACCAACCTCAGGCCGGTGGGGGAAGATTTTCGCTGGTACCTGAAGGTATGGCGAGCCAGGGGAGGTGCAGCGCCGCGCAACCTGCCACCCCTTCGCAGGGCTAGGCAAAGCACAATGAAACGCAGTGTACTTTAAAAGCCCCAGTAGGTTTTTTTTAACAATACAAGCCTGTAGTGCTAACTAGAATACAGTACAAAATAGCATGCAGTAAAAACGAAATAACATTATCAGACTGAAAACCAGTGAATATCGGACTAGAGGTCTGGAAGGGACCTCGAGGGGTCCTCTAGCCTCCCCACCGCTGAAACTTGTGTAAATTTGCATCAGCAGGGGGCGGGACTAGGGGACCCCTCAGCCCTGCATTTCTATGATTTTGAGTTGCATGGTGTTGTGCCACAGGCTTCTTTTGCATAATATTTTGCATTCCATCCTATAGTGGTTTGTATTGCAGGCTTCCATTACACAAATTATTGGTATCTAATGGAAGCCTGCAATGCAAACCACTGTAGAATGGTTTCTATACTATGATCATCACTGTGGTATTTCATTGCCATCTAAGGGTACGTCTACACTACCCTCTGGATCGGCGGGTAGCAATCAATCTATTGGGGATCGATTTATCGCGTAGACGCAATAAATCGATCCCCAATTGCTTTCCCGTCGACTGCTGAACTCCAGCTCGGCGAGAGGCAGAAGTAAAGTTGACGGGGGAGCCGCGGCGCGCCGTGAGGACGCAAAGTAAGTAATTTTAATTTGATCTAAGATATGTCGACTTCAGCTACGCTATTCTCGTAGCTGAAGTTGCGTATCTTAGATCAATCCCCTCCCCCCAGCGTAGACCAGGCCTAAGATGTAGTTTTGCCAGTATCCAATTGGTTATATACACAGTGTTAGTGGTATCATGGCACATTTCAAGCATGGTTCATTGTGTAATCTAAATAAAAGTAAGATGAATATATGTGATCCGAAAGTTGTGCAGGTTTTTTTTTGTTTGTTAAATTTAAGCACGTTTTGGAAGTTGAGTAACGGTTAGATGTTATGTATGTTTGCATTAAAAGATCAGTTACGATGAAGTAAAATCATGGCTATTCCTCAGTCCGTATAATATCCACCACCCTCTCTTTTGTGGTTATGATTTTTTTTTTTTTTAAGTATAATTGGTGGAAGACTCGCTTGGTTGACAAACTGTTGGGATGTATTATTCCCATCTTTATTTATTGGCTCCTACATGTAATCTGTTTTCTTTCTACCTAATATTCTCTGGAACAGATCCTCAACTTGTGTAAATTGTCATCGCTCAAGTGAAGCTAATGGGGCTATGAAAATGGACCCCAGTTGAGGCTCTGGCCCCCCATTCTTTAAGGGCAGCTATCCCATGACCTTTCAACTACAAAATGGTTAAACTTAAGTCTAAGAATGGCTTGAGGTATTTTATTGATCAGCTTACTAACAACTTTAAGATTCTTTGGTGTCTGTTTTTCTTTTCCAGATGAAATGTGGGAACTGTGGTGAGATTTCTGAAAAATGGCAATACCTGCGATTAATGGTAAGCTGCAGAACTGCAAGATGTGCATTAAAAACAAAGAACCCAAAAAACCCAGTGCACATTATGTAAAATTGACTTTGATGGAAATGGGGGATATGCTGTATAAAGCAGCCTTTGAATAATTATCTACATCGGGGTTGCTGTCAGACTTTATGTTCACAAAGTATTTTGAGATCCTTGAATGAAATGTGCTATAGGAATGGTTGGTGGCGGTGCTTATTATTTTAAGACTTTCTTGAAAAGCCTCCCCTCATTAAAGCCAGTAAGTTTCCACAGCCAAGAAAATGGATTTGAAGTGGTATTACAATAGGGTTTTGCCAGTAGTGCATTTCCTCTTTGCTAATGATAAAACAAGTTTTATGGAAGTTTAGATAACCTGGGGGGGAGGGAAGGGGAATAATGATAATAAATTAACTTATGCAAGGTACTGGTGTTGTGCATGACAGAAATGCTATAAATATCACTATCTGACTGCCTCATGATGTTAATGAATTTAAATAGAGAAGTGTTATCCCCACTTTACAGATGGGGAAACTGAGGCAGAGAGGTGAAGTGATTTGCCCAAAGTAACACAGGAAGTCTGTGGTTTAGTTTGGAATTAGAACCTCAGACTCTCATCCTGAACCACAAGACCCTTCTTCTTCTATCCTTGCAGGCCCCAGTCCTGCAACTTGTTGCATGTAGGCACAACAGTGTGCAGGATCAGGGCTCTAATCATGCTGGTTGAAGATTAAATAAATATCCTATGGAATGGCTAGAATGTGTCTGTATTGTCAAGACACATTCTATACATAATTTATTATTTAAAATTTAGTATATAATGTACATTATTCCTTGATAACCATAGTATTGTGAATTATAAATATTCTTTGTACTGAAAGAAACCTACCTTCCCCTTACAATATATAAAATCATGTTAGTTTGC